ACCCCGACGTGCAGCGGGTGGTGGGTGGGGGGGAAGCAGCCACCCCCCGCCGTGCACAAATTAACGGGCGAGAGGAGTGGACGCCGTGGCACGGAGTGGAGACGAAAGAAGGGAGGCCGGGGACGACATTCTGTCACCAGAGTTAAGTCGGACAGGCGAGACACGCTGCCTGCATACGCCGCCACAGACACCGCCAAACGCCACACCGCAGACAATACCGCAATGAGCCCTCCCTCTCAGTCGCCAAGAATAGCACCACGATTTTTGTGCCGACCGGCCCCAAAGCCAAATTACCGCCTGGCTTAAAGCTTAGCGAGTCGGCTGTCCACTGCCCTTTTCGCCGCGTGAAAGTAAAAACTCGCGTCAAACCACTTCTCAGCCAAGTCACCCGTTTGAGAGCAGAAGATACAAAATAAATAGACTCCACGTTGCGCCCCAAATGGAAGCATGTGCTGCAGTGTTGCGTCGAAAGGATGCAGTGCGGATAAAGATGATGCAGTCACCGTTTAATAAATAGTCTACATTACAACGGTGGTTGTCCTATAGAGACTGGCCTTGGCCATAAGAATGTGGAATGTCTGCCAGTCACACGCTGTGACCAATAGAGATGAGAACCGCCCACCCGTTGTCTGGGTATCAACTTGACTTTGACCGCGAGGTCCTTGTTAGACATCACAAGCATCGCGCTGTTGATGGCACCCTGTTCGGAATTGCAGTGCCGGATGAGGGCCTCCACACACCGGTGCGGGGGACCACGGGGGTTATGTGACAATACTTTACCAAGCCGGTCGGTGTGCGTTTGTGAAGATGGGTGCAACGACATTGAACAAGCAATATATATTGGACAGCTATCGATGTCGATGCATTGCCCTCTGCTCTCCCCACGTAGCGCCACATGCCGTATGACAAGTTGTCTGTGCTTGGGTTTTCCCATCCAAGTGTAATAAAGGACTCTTGCACTGGGTCTGTCTCCGTTGTCCTTTATTGGTTCGTACAACTTTGCCCGCACGGCGTCTCGCTCAGAGTCTCCTCCGTCTCCCGCTCGGCAGCCCCACTGCTGCCGTCGCTCCTGCAGACTCGCTGCTGGCTCACTATGCAGCCCCGCTGCTGGCTCTTCACTCAGCCTCTCTGCCTCCGACCTGCAACCCCACGGCTGCTCACTATGCAGCCCCGCTGCTGGCTCTCCGTCTCCTCCGTGCCCGGACACCGCTGGCCAACGGTGCCGAGTACCGACCTGTGGCGATCACGCCACTTTCCTCCTCCTGCCCTGTAGTGGCCTCCTCCTGTCTTTTGTCCCACACTCTCCTCCAGCCCTTCCGGTTCCTGCCCTTAAAAGCTCTCCCTCTCCCCACGTGACCCTAACTCCTCCCACCTGTTACGTCACATCCCGCGAGCCCATTTACGCTCGCATTACACAAGCACTTGCCAGGCTCATGACATCTGCGCGTTCTCGGCTATTTTATTTGCCCAGTGCTGATGTCGCACCGTGCGTTCAACATGATGCAACGGCCACCTACGGCAGACCACAACCTAAGTGTGAATGCCACTTGAAACTGTTCGGTTTGGCAAAGAATCATACTGCCAATTTGCAAGGCATTCCATAAACCACATCGCAAGATCGCGTGAGTGCGGGGGTAAACATCGGCCTGACCTTGTCGCCAGGCTGAGAGTGGACGTGCCGGTTGGTAACCCAGGCCACCGCGACGCATCGCACAGTGGGTAAGGAGCCATCGCTATCGCTGCTATACCTGCTGGCTCTGATACAGCAGCAGCAAACAGCCTTGCTCCAGGGAAAGCAAAGTTAAATACTTCCCCAGAATAAACACCATGCTAACAGATGCAGCCTCAAGACTGACACTGGCAGTCTGAACTAAACCAGGTAAGGCCCACTGAGCTATACAGCTTTTTTTCAGAAGCTACCTGGCGACAAATGATAGCTCAACGAAGTGGCTTATAGTAATAGGTTTTTACCCTTTTAACTGGTACAAAATCTGATTTTGTACCAGTTAAAAGGGTAAAAACCTATTACTATATTTTGCCACTGGTAAAGGAGATCTCATAGTGTGAAGTGGCTTATCACGTGGAAATTCATAGCAGCCAAATTATCTAAACGCACGTTGCTTTTAAATGTGGAGAGAGAAAATCGGAGGACCCAGAGAAAAATCCGCCCGGCCACGGGGAGAACATGCAAACTCCAAATATACAGGAGGCGTCGCGGTGGGGATCAACCCACAACCTCCTGTATACCAGGCGAGGTAGTTAACATCTCTACACTGTGGCACACACACTGGCTGACAGCACGCTGTCCTCAAGTGATATTCCTACCCAACCCCAATGTTTGCTCTTTGATGGGACCCGTCACACACTCATATCTATAACAGATGGTATTTCTGTGTCAGCCTATGCTGATGTATATTACTCGCGAAGCTTTGAAACTGCTTGTAGGCATCATCTTGGAACGCCGGTAATTGTCTTTTAAAACAACACAAGGTAGTAATTTATTAAGAAAATTAATAGTTGTTGCGTAGTTTGTTTACAATGTTTTTGTTATTTATTGTGTTGACTCATCCATGCATTGTGATTCGTGTCAACAGTTTCGCTTCTCCTGCTGGCACTGTCTACTGCCGCTGGCTACACTGTGTAACACATTTGTTTTGGTTCCTGGGTAGTAAGTGTTATTTCCTTGTTTCATAAGGCCGAATTTGATGTGCAGTGGTGGCATCAGCACCTTCCGGGGGTCCACCAGTGGCTCCGACTTGACGTTGTTCCTCCCCACAGAGAACTCGGTCCGCTGTGGCCAGTCCCGCCTGTGGTAGTGCACCTTGGTGTCTAAATCTTTTGTATTCATTTTTGTATTACTCTAGTATAAATACATGTTAATTTTAATTCATATGTTGTTTTTTCTGACTTGATGTGAACGAAAAGACACAAATTCGCCCGTTTTCTCATTGAAAATAGGTCAATTTCAAAATATCACTGTCCTGGTCACAAAGCAAAGTTTGTGGGGAATAATAGTGATTTTCTGCACTTTTTAGGCATAAGCAATTACGAAATAACACTTCCTACGCAGGAACAAAAATTGTGTCACATAGTGATTTCAGTCGCTATCCTTTACCAAGTGTATTTCTCTGAGTTCCTGAATATTTTTCAAGAAGATCTGGATTCAAACGCGGATCGCGGATGAAGCACTGCCAGCCATTCCAAATCGAAATGTACTCATCTCTTGACATAATGCCAATAGCAGCGTTCTAAAAATAATTTGGGGAAAGAAAAAAAAACAAGAACTCACTTTTACTATAAACTGTTGCGTACCTGAACAAACTCAACATTATCGGTACCAAGTTTAGTCATAATTCATCGAGACTCACACAAACGCATGATTGTGCAGCCCTGCACTCTCACGTCACTGCTGACAGAAGGGGCCTCTGCGAGAGGGAGCTCGAGACAGCCCCTCTGGAGGGCATTTTGACCGACTCCTTACACAGTGACCAGACGTCTTGGAAGAGGTGGGGGTACCCACACTTTACCCCACCGCATGCGACATGCCAATCGACTGGGTGCCCTTTTACACTGCTGCGTGGACAGAGGCGGCAGTGGGATTTAAGAAACTTGCTCCGTTGTTTTTAACGACCACACCGGGTGATTAAAATGCTCACCTTTTGATTGAATGTCCAGTGCGCTGACCATTACACCGCGGCACCATTCTCTTTTGTTGTTGACAATGGGAGTAGATAAGTGTTGTTAAACGTTACATAAATAATGCATATTTTTGGTTTTCATGAGATTCATATGCATGGAGAGCCACGGGCACGTGCTTGGGAAGGGTAGCCAGAATCGGCACCAACAATTGGCCCCAGTTCCGTGCCCCTCGATTGGGATGTTTGGCCAACCCCTTGAATGCGCGTTTATACATCTGGGAGGAAACCAGAGCACCCGGAGTAAACCCACACGCGTAATCCCCGTACAGATGGAATTCAGATGGAAATTAATCAGCTTGCTGTACTTCCATAATACCCAATGGAAAGCCCGGAGATGGCGACATCGCAGCCCAGTGGATTTTTGAGAGTTTCACAAATTTGCGTGCTCCACCAAACCCTCATTGGCTGCACAGTGTTGGATTACAGGCCATGTGGATGGCCACCAGCTCGCAGCCAATGCGGTCACAAATGCATTGAAAAACTGTAACACGTCAGAGTTCCACCCAAATTCATGCAACGCACCCGCCACCTGGGCCTGAGGCGCGTCGGAGTACGTACGCGTGTACGTTGACATTCTTTCGCACCGTACGTAGACAAGCGTGGTCATCGGAAGTGCGGGGAAGGACACGTGTATCCGTGTGTGTGTGAGAGCTACTTGTGTGTGTGGTGAGTGTGGGTGAGACGGGGCAGTATGTGTGGTACGTGTGTGTGTGTGAGATAGGGGCCGTCCATAAATGACGTCACGCGATTTTGGACGATTTTTTACCCTCCCCCCAGTCACACGGAGTCACAAAAAGTCAGACCCCCCTCAAATATGACGTCAGAAAGCTCTGCCCCCGCCCCCCCAAAAAAATGCTTAAAATCGCTTTAAACTATTGTCATTGCAGTGCGTATTTGATGTGGCGCTGCACTCTGATGTTGTAGGAGAAAACATTTATTAAAGAGTCTATTTAAGTAAGTAGAACGTGTTGTCTATATTGATTTAAAGTTGCGCATTTTGATGTGACGTCACATTTCTCACCCCCCCCCCCCCCGTCGTCATACATCGTCACAAATATCTGACCCCCCCCCCCCGTGCGTGACGTCATTTATGAACGGCCCCATACGTGTACGTGTGTGAGATGCGTGTGTGTGTGGTGAGGGTTAGACGGAGCACCATGTGTGGTACGTATGTGTATGATAGATATACGCGTGTGTGTGTGTCTGCGTCAGACGTACACACGCACGTTGAACTTCTTTTGCACGGTACGCAGCCAACCGCGCTAACCGGTGTCGAGAGGCGTGCCGTCGATGGGGACTCACAGAGCATCTTGGTGACGGTGCGCCGTGGTGGGCGCTGCACGCTCAGGCGATTGTCCCCGGAGCCGCCGGGTTGGTCCGTCTGCTGCAGTCGCCTCTCACCGTAGCACAGCTTCTCCTCGCGGAGCTGCGTCACGCACAGCGACAAGGGCCCCCCCCCCCGCCCGGCACATCTTCTTAGGGGCCGTCTATAAATGACGTCACGCGATTTTGGACGATTTTTGACCCCCCCCCCCCCCTTCGTCACACGGCGTCACAAAAAGTCAGACCCCCCCTCAAATATGACGTCACAAAGCTCTGCCCCCCCCCCCCCCCGAAAAATTATTAAACATGCTTCAAATCGCTTTGCGTATTTAATGAGGCGCTGCACTCTGATGTTGTTTAATTAAGTAGAACGTGTTGTCTATATTTAAACTTGCGCATTTTGATGTGACATCACATTTATCACCCCCCCCCCCCATTGTCACACATCAAAAATGTCTGACCCACCCCCCCCCCAGGTGTGTGACGTCATTTATGGACGGCCCCTTAGCCCCGGAATCGATTGAGCGACAAAAAAAAGGTGACGTTACGACAAAACCGCGCTTGCTGAGCAAAGTTGAAACTCAAGGGACGCCGACTTCGAAGCCGCAGAAGGAATGACCCCCCTCCACGAGCTGAAGCCGTCATCGAGGGCGGCGGCTCGGGACCGAACCGTCGAAGAGACAGCGATCGGGAGTGGGGGGACGCGGCGGCCTCGGGGGACGTCTCCGTCGCTGCGGGCCGCCTGCTGCGGCCGTAGATCGGCCACGTGGGCACTGGCAAAGGAAATCGCCGCGGATGCCGAAAAGCGCACGAAGAAGATCGGAGATCGGGAGGAGAGAGAGAGGAGAGAGACGCGCGCTTTGGAAACGGAGATCGGGGGAGGCGACAACCATCGAGTGACGGTAGAATTGGCGATTTGGAGTTGACGACCACCGCGAAAGACTGCATGGTAGCGGTCACCGGGCCGTTCGGAAGCCTTCTTGCAGCAGTGGATAGGCAATGGCTGTTGATGATAATGATGATGATACGACGAAGCACATTATATTTAAACTAACGAGGTGACATTTACGCTGATGACTGAACCTCAAAATACACAGGCGTGCACCATCAATTGGCTCAGTACTGGGTGAGTAACCAGTAGCTGCGTGGATTCAATATAATTGTAGTGCAGCAGTTCAGTTTCGTGAAACGTTTGGGTGTGTCATTGTGGTTTGTCAGTACTACATATATAGCTTTTATTTGACCAGGTAAAGCCTACTGAGCTATATTCAGCTCTTTTTCAGAAGCGATCTGGCCACCACAAATGATAGCTCCACGAAGTGGCTTATCGCGTGACATTTTCTAGCAGCCGAATACTCTGAACGCGTGTTGATTCAAAATTTTGAGGGAAAGTTCGGCATAGGCCATGACGTGATGGCAGGATCACTGCCAAGCTTGATCATTTCGGGGCCGTCCATAAATGACGTCACGCACCTAGGGGGGAGGGGGGGGTCAGACATTTGTGATGATGTGTGACGAGGGAGGGGGGGTTTGAGAAATGTGACGTCACATCAAAATGCGCAACTTTAAATAAATACTAGCAGGAAGTACCCAGCTTTGCCCGGGGGAAAATATATATTTCAAAACTTGTCTTCTCTTAATATATACATCCACAAATACTAAGCTATTGTGAAAGCCCGGCGTTCCCTTTGTCCATTTGTACGTCAACAAAATTATAAGAGCCTTTCTCAAGTCCTGAATCAAAAAGTTAAAGAAAGTGGGGGGTAAATAGTTGATCTAAAAGGTTTCCAAAAAATGTCCATACCTCCCCCCTCCAAAAACCTTTTTACCCCCCTCCACCCAATTTTATTTTGTAGGCATATACTGTACTAGCTTTACTACCCGGCTTCGCCCGGGTCTTGGATCCACGATGCTAGGCCGCCTTTGTCTCCCCAGTGGCGATGTTCATACGCCACAGCAGTTACTCGTTTTGAGGCTGAGTCCCTCCCTCACCGCTCTCCCTCCCTCACTGCTCTCCCTCCCTCACCGCTCTCCCTCCCTCACGGCTCTCCCTCCCTCACCGCTCTCCCTCCCTCACCGCTCTCCCTCCCTCACCGCTGTCCCTCCCTCACCGCTCTCCCTCCCTCCCCGCTCTCCCTCCCTCACCGCTCTCCTCCCTCACCGCTCTCCCTCCCTTACCGTTCTCCCTCCCTCACCGCTCTCCCTCCCTCACCGCTCTCCCTCCCTCACCGCTCTCCCTCCCTCACCGCTGTCCCTCCCTCACCGCTCTCCCTCCCTCAGCGCTCTCCCTCCCTCACCGCTCTCCCTCCCTCACCGCACATTAATAAATAAGGCGATCTAAAGCGAATAACGTTGTTTATGATAAATGGTCGCGAAAGGCCACGTGTTCCAAATTGACAAACTGTACTTAATAAGCAGGCTACAAATTTCGATTTAAAGCTTTCGTGACTGCAGGGATTCATCTTCTTGGTTCTTTCGGTAAAGTCACGTAGAAGGGAAGTAATAAAATAATAAAAATAAAACATAATAAAACAATTCTCACGACGTTTCGGCCACAACGCAAGCAGCCGTCTTCAGGTGAAAACCAGGTCCGTCGAGGCGACAGAGTCTGAATGAAACAGCACACGAGCTTGGAGCATATATATAAGCTGGGCGCATTGACAAAGGAATTTGCATATCAAAAGGAATTTATCATATTTATGGGAAATGCAGGAATGTGATTAGTACTGCATATGCATGTGCATTATGCAGGATTAACAGCATCAAAGGGAGCTGCAGTTACTGCTGCTGCTGCAGTTGCTGCTGCTGCAGTTTCTTCTGCTGCTGCAGTTGCTGCTGCTGCTGCAGTTGCTGCTGCTGCTGTTACTGCTGCTGCTGCACTTGCTGCTGCTGCTGCAGTTGCTGCCTTATCCATTTTAATATAACACTATGTATTATTCTACCCACCCTAATGTGTATCACACTGCTATATGTTTACTATACAATTACGACACCATACATTACTCTGCACACTGCACCATGCCAGTGAGTGGAACGCGGTCTGAAAGTCACCGTAAACGTGAACACAATCAGTTAAGATCCGAAATGGTTTATTACGTCCTTCCAATGATTGCTAAGCCAGAATCCATCTTCTCGGTTGAAATTGTCTCTGTGTTTGTATATGTGGATCGCCTCATGAACGAATCTCTCATGATAGCCAGATGGCTTGCAGAGAACCTCTGTCTTGGAGAAGTCAGTGTACATGATAGACTGCCAGTACACCCACCGAGCTGAATAAGCAGGCTACAGTCTACATTATAGACTGCCAGTACGCTCAGCCAGCTTAATGACTATTTGTAGAATGAACATTGAAAGAATCCAATTTTGGCGCGTGGGGTTTAAACATAATTATACAGTTGTTTTTTCATGAGAAATGGTAATTGTAGTGGTTTTACGCTTGAACACACCGGTGGGCTAAAGCAGTCAAGTCTTAGTCTTTTATGAACGTGACATATTTTTGCAGATTGGGCGTGTCGGGTGGTGGATAAGGCTTACAACACATTAATAAAGAAGGCGATCTAAACCCAATAACGTTGTTTATGAATAATGTTTGCGAAAGCGTACGTGTTACAAATGGACAAACTTTACTGAATAACCAGGCTACAGTCTACATGATAGACTGGCAGTACACGCACCCAGCTGAATAAGCAGGCTACAGAGTACATTATAGACGGCCAGTACGCTCAAGCAGCTTAATGGCTATTTGTACAAAGAACATGGAAAGAATCGATTATAATAACCAGGCTGCAGTCTACATTATATACTGCCAGTACACCCACTCAGCTTCATAAGCAGGCTAGAGTGGACATGATAGAGTGGCAGTACGCTCACCGAGCTTAATAAGCAGGCTACAGTGAACATTATAGACTGGCAGTACAGTCACCCAATTTAATAAGCAGGCTACAGTCAACATTATAGACTGGCAGTACGGTCACCCAGCTTAATGACTATTTGTACAGTCAACATTTAAAGAATCGATTGTTGGCGCGTTGGGTTTAAAAGTAATATTAATTGCACACATTGTGGTGGGGGTGTAGTGAAGAGTAGGTGAAACTTTGATGAATTTACCTCAGAGTCGCGTGGTGGGTGTCGAGGCCTAGTAGCGTGCAGAGCCTCCGGCCTCGCCAAAATTGCCCACCCGGCAGAGGCAGGGTACGGGTGGCGTTCCCCCCCCCCCCCGCGCTACAAAAATACTGTCTAATCGCTATTATTTAATTTCCTACTGAGCCTATAATAGTCATTGAACACATTGTGGTGGGAGGGGAGTTGAAGAGGAGGTGAAACTGTGATGAATTAACTTCAGAGTCGCGTGTTATTGCGTGCGCCTATTTTTAACGGGAATAAAAAATGGCGTCGAGCCCTTGGCGAAGGCGTCGCTACCCGTTGGCAGGGGCAACCGCCGTCCAATGAAAGCGGCGAAGGCGTGGCTACCCGTTGGCAGGGGCAACCGCCGTCCAATGAAACTGCAGCCTGCGGCGAAGGCGTCGCTAGCCGTTGCCAGGGGCAACCGCCGTCCAATGAAAGCGACGAAGGCGTCGCTAGCCGTTGCCAGGGGCAACCGGCGTCCAATTAAAGTGTGTATGGTCCGGCAACACACACACACACAGACAGACAGATTCGCGATTTTATATATAGATAGACAACACGTTCTACTTAATTAAATAGACTTTTTGTGATGCCGTGTGACGAGGGGAGGGGGGGTCAAAAATGGTCCAAAATCGCGTGACGTCATTTATGGACGGCCCCTTATTGTAGAAACGGAGATGAAGCGGACACTTTTGCCCATCCCTGTATATCAGAATTAGGATATTTATTTATTTATCGTGGAGGAATCCGGTGGGCGATGAAGCTATTTTCATAGATGTTCCAGTAGGTGCGGATAAGAACGTCACAACAACAAACAGTACTAAACCGCGATAGGAGTGCAAAGTACAAGTAATGCAAACAAATCTCCCAAAAACATACAAATACAACTAACCAATCCCTATCCGATCAGGCAAAGTCCACTGAGGTATTAGTTTATTTTTCATAAGCGACCTGGGCACAAATGAATGTGTGTTGCTA